GTATGCTTTTCATCATCGCAGTTAAAAACGGGAAGTTGGTTCCACTTCTCCTCAAATAGGCTGTCAAAGTCCCGCCATCTCGCAAATGTATTCTCAATGTAAGATGGAAACATGGCTTGCGTCATCTTGACCCTGGCGCCCTGAACAGCAGAAAAAGATATTATCGAACCGCTCTCGGGCCAAAATAGGAGCTCTCCTCTAGCAGCAGCCAAAGCTACACTTCTCTTGTTTGCTGCACGGGACAGCACTTCCTCCGTGGTACTAGCTTGGATAATCGGTGACATTTCGCACGTATAAAATTGAAGAATTTGCAGTCCACATCCAATGTCAACCCACCCTTTTAGGCTATATTCAGTCTCGTTTTTCCTATTTCTGTCTTGAGAAGATAGCGGTTTGGAAATCGACTGTCCGAAACCCCAGAACACACAACCTTGCATTGAGCCTTCTAGAGGCATGTTATCGAGCCATCGCTGAAAAACGAGAGGTGCCTCGTTAGTCCATTGGAATCTTTTCCCCAAACTTTCTTGTTGTCTCACTAGACCAATGTACGTAGCGAACTCATCGTCCCACCGTGTGAAGGGAAAGTCCGATCTCGCCAAGACTAACGAATTGGATTGGTAATTCTTGTTTTGCCTTTGAAGGTCAAATATTCTCCATGGCAACTCCATCTCAAGAAAGTCAAGCTCGCCTTTGGTTTCAATCGATACCAGTTTTGAATTTTGGATTTCGCACTGTTCACTAGCTTCCAGCCAATTCACACAGACGTTCGGGACAAAACCAACAAAGTAGCAGGAGACGAAGTGAGAGTCATTGACATCAATGGAATTTTCGTCGTGAGCAAACCAGTGGTGAAAACACATTCTGCACAGCAGCTGAGCTATGCTGTGATCGTTTTTCAGCGGTGACATGTCTGTCCATAATACAGAAACACTTTTTCCAAACCAATCGAAACGATAATTTTCTAAAAACATACTTCCGTATAAAATGAGACAATACTTAACACCCGCATCTTCTTCTTCAAAATTTATACTGTATATCGGATCAGAAGTCCTCGCTACAACGACTACCACTCGCTCAATGCTCGTTCTGTTCCCCCTGCTCGAAGTGAGGATGATGTCTTTGATAGTTGTAGTATCCGAAGGAATATTTGGAACGACTTTGGGCGGCTCCATATTCTCTAAAGCTTCTTTCGTCTCAAATTTCCCTTTATAAGAGCCAAACTGGAACACAGGCTGTAACACTCCAGCCTGCTCTGTTGCATAGGAAAACTGAATCCTCGTGGTCTCCTCCTCTTCAGAGCCCAAAAACACATCTACTAACCGTGAGAAAAGCTTCTCTGCCTGGCGCTTTTCACTCATTCTTCCAATGGACACAAACAGAACATCGATGTCCTCGCTTCGACAGTCTTGTAAAGGCAAACCTGCACCATTCACTGAGGAAAGAAAATGAATGAAGTTCTTTGGTCAAGCTAAACCACTATCGGAAGTATACGTTTGTCAAACCGAAAATCAAAATACTGGTGCATGCAACCTCATTTTGATTCGTTTTTTTCGTTTGTTTTTGTTTTTCGAGATGCTTTATAGCAACGCGTCCCTCTTCAATAAATCGTATAGTACACATTTTCCAGAAGTTATTGACTTAACTTTTACCCAAAAGAAGGCCTAGATTTAGGATATTAATGATATTAATTAACGGTTAGAGAGAATTTGAGAAAATGCATTTTGCTTTCCATTCACGCAGCACGCACATTACTCTAAACACTTTAATCAAAGGCGAAAGGCCTGGCGGTACTCAACACTACCTCCACTGCTCCACTGTGTCAAACAATAATTATTATGTGTCACGACGTGGTGGAATCAGGCGCTTGTCAATTTTTGGGCATGTGGAGTTGAGCTTGTCCATTTGTCTTGCTTTTGAGGAAAAAGTATCCTTTTGTCTTGCTTTCGATGAAAAAGTATCCATTTGTCTTGAATACACGTTGAGGTATTGTTGATTGAAGGAGGTGTGGGACTCCGGGTTTCAGAGGTAAAACTAGCGAGAAAACAGGGGCGAAAGTTGAGTTATTTCCTTAGCTTGAGGGTCCGAGGAGACGGAAAATGTACCCCTTTTGTGCTTTTGAACCAGGTTTTTCAATCACATCTAGATATCTACACAGAAATGTGTTCTGGACAAAAAAGATCTTGAGCCCCCAAAAAACAAAAATTTGATAAAATTCCCAATCTTGCGAAAACAAAGTGCCAATTTCATCACTTTCATTATTTTGACGAGCGCCTGATTTCACCACGCTGCCCCACATATGCGACGTAGAGACGAAAACAGCCGAGGAAAGTTTTCAAAATACAGTGTATAACAAAGCCAGGCAGAATACAAGGATAAGTCAGTTCTCTTTGTATTTTTGAAATACGGAAGTTTCGTCATATGCCCTTGATGATTTTTAAAAATTTCCTTTTCACACAAATGCATTGGGATACTGACAAAGCAAAATCAAGAGAGCAGACTTGAGACATGGTCATGCATCATGCAACCCACTGTATAAAAACGAGCTGTTGCAATCAATTACCTGTGTGCGGTCCAGTGAATGCGAAGGCTGCTTTTACAAAGATACACATGAGCACCAGGGCACCCTTCATGCTGTTCTCTAGTCGGTAAGAACGGATTTACTGTAGTTGACCCTGATCCTGTGAGAGAGAGTATTATTATAACAACGGTGTTCCAACTTTCTCTGAAAAAGTGGAATTATCAAAGTACTATGATAAATAATTATTGTTCATGATGATGATGATGATGATGATGATGATGATGATGATGATGATGATGATTTATGTCTTCAGTTGGCGCTGAGGAAGGCTGCGTGGCGAAAGGTTGAGTCAGTTAAATAAAACAAATTTTAAAACATTTTATACATTTTTTTGCTGCAAATCAAGCAAGAAGCCCCCCCCCCCCCCCCCCCACACACACACACATTTTGCTTTTAAAAAAGTGATGATGATGATGATGATGATGTTGATGATGATGATATCCAAAATGAGAACCTTTCTGGTACATTCCCCTTAGTGCGACAAAGTGTATGGATCTACAATTGGGATGGCTGGAGTAAATGACACTGACTTTGAAAACGAGACAATAATCTGGCCACAGTATTTATACAGCACGACAAAATTTAACGCCTTTGGTCGAGACCAGTCAGTTGTTTATCAAAATACGACTTGTCCTCAGGGGATCTTTCAACCGTTCATTCCAAACAGAATCATCAAAAGGAATTTTGTTACCAACAGCCATCAGTTTAATTTGAGGTCCATTAGGATTAAAGAAAAGGCCACACAATTAATAGCAGGCAGTCCGAATGTGTTTGCGGTTCGAGATGAATTAGTGATGCCGAATGGGGCTATAGACATAAAGAAGCTTTGGCCATGATGAGGTTCCCGCTGCTTGTATGGTTATGCATTAGATGATTGACTGTAAATGAAGTTTTTACGTCCCTATTGACTCAATTTAGATAGTTTAGGAGGTAGGCTGTTTTGGCCCAGCTTGTCTGTCTGAGCCAACAGAAACTGAATGGGATACAGCATTCTAGAAGAAGGATAGAGAGATGTGTACTTGGTAAAATAATTTCCTCTTGCAGAGCTCGAACAAATGTGAGGCATTGTGGTGAAATCAGGCGCTCGTCAAAATAATGAAATCAAAGAAACCAGCAATTTTCTGATCGTTGGGCAATTTTTTTTCCTAACGTATTTCTTGTCTTAACACCTTTTATATCCATACAAAGATATACATCTGTGTGGACTTTACTTAAAAACATTGATCAAGGGCATAGGAAATATGTGAATTTGCTGTTTTCCTGGACGCTCAAGCTGTGAAAATCACTAAACTTTGGGGCCATTTCTCGTTAATTTTACCTCTGACACTAGGCGACTCCCACCTCTTTCAATTACAAATATTGTTACATATATCTCGACTCCTATTCGAGATAAATGGGTATTTTTTTCATCAAAAACAAGCTAAACGAACAGGCTTTAAGATGATGCCATAACTCCACATGCCCAAACATTGAAGGGTGCCTAGTTCCACAGAGTCGTGACTCTGATACTTATGAGCTCTAGATATAAATAGAAAGGTGGGTTGGAAAGGGACTGGGGTTCTTGGGATTTAGGCAAATGGTTGAGTGGGCATTTCACTTGAAACGAAAGTGGGGTGGTGAACTTGTGGGAAAAAGAGGGGGGGGTGAATCCGAAAATGGATCTGACTCAAGAAGAAGTCCAAGTGATTTTTGGTACAATTTCTGCGAACTCAAATCCTCTGAAATGTCCTTAGACCCTGAGACAGACTTGTACCACGAAGTAAAAAGCTGACAAGTGGAGCCCACACAAATCCAACAGTTGGTCGCTTTTAAGGACAAACGGGCTAACCCAGATTACGGGGGTTTCCAGAAATCTTGACCGACCCCAAAATTGGGCATTGCCCTACCTATAAGAGAAGTTTGGTTTCATTGGTGTGTATATTTGTTTGGTTATAGAGAAAACTCTCCTTGTCTTTTGAAGAAAATGAATATGAGACAAAAACTTTATCTTCGATTTTCTCAAAACAGCATTTTTCGGGATAGCCCCCTTGTGCTTAAAAGTGAGCAGTTCAAAGTAATGTAACCAACAACAATAATAGCCTGCAACAAAAAATTGGAGGAACACCTTTTACATCAATAAACGATAACTATCTGTATCTGTTCACTGAAATTGGCCCATCAGTAGAGCACCATGCATTAAAAAATAAATATTGCAACAAACATGACGCGAACTTTTCACTTGGCCATAATGCAGAATTTTGGACGCGGGCTGCTGTATAAGGTGCAAAGCAGAAGGTAAAAGACATGTATATTCATTAAAATCGCTGTCTGAGTGTTCCGTCAGTATAAAGTGCAACGCAGCAGCTAAAAGACAGCGATGTTCATTATAATCGCTATCTGTTCTAAAAATTACCTATATCATGACCTTTGGCTTTCATTCTAGGTACACTCTGCTCCAGAGGCGCATCGACGGAACACTCAGCTTTAACCGACGGTGGCTGGAGTACCAGCACGGCTTTGGCAATCCTTATGGGGAGATGTGGATTGGAAACGAATTAATTCATCAGCTCACTACGCAGGTAATGATCATTTGTTTATTAAGGAAGATTTATGGTAAAGCTGTTTCAATAAATCGGAAAGTGCTTTAATTGCATAACTGATTCATTGTGAGCCTGCCTGCCTGTCTGATTGATTTATTAATTGACTGAGTGAATGATTAATTGATTGCATGGTTAATTGATTGACTTGTTGATGGATGGATGGATGGATGGATGGATGGATGAATGGATTGATTGAAGGATTAATGATTGATGGATTGATTGACTGATTTGTTGATTGATTGGATGACTGATTGATGGATCGATTTATTGATCGATCCATAGATTGATTGGCAGATTGATTGATTGACTGACTGATTGACTGACTGACTGATTGATTGACTAACCGATTGATTGATTGATTGATTGATTGATTGATTGATTGATTGATTGATTGATTGAT